AGCGAGCGTGCAGGGGTGGCGTGAGGACATACCACAGTAGATGGCAGAGATGAACCCGATGACGGCGGGCCACATTGAGAAGATGAAGTAGGTGAGATGCGTGTTGTAGACGGCAGGTATGCATCCGGCCCCTTCGAGGATGTCGAATCGATGACCGAGAACGATGGTTTCTGAAAGGAATACACGCATATTAGACGGGTGCGTTACTCAGGAGGGAAAAGCCTTACGCAGAGCCACAATGATGAGGGGGAACAGAATGCAGATGAGAGAATCAATCAGCACGACACGTCGTTTCTGGGAAATGAGATATCAGCCTATCTCTTTTACGCGAACGAGAGGAAAGAAAGAACGCACCTCAGCCCGAGTAGTTTGAGCACTCTGAACCGTGGAGATGGTGTATAGCCGTTTGACAATACACAAAGAGGCGGCGGGAATGCCGATAGAGGCGCCAGCCGAGATTCTGATCGCTGGACAAAGAGTGAGTCCTCTAGTGCAGACTTGAACGCCGTCATGAAAGACAACTCACAGATGTCACAGAAAATTGGTGCACGGTTGATCGCGTCGCTGGCCCAGACGACTGAGTTGATGAAGAGATTGAGTGAAGCAAGCGATGTCCAGAAGATGTAGTAGCAGAGGCCAGAGTTCCATGCTTTTAAGTGCCACGGGAGCGGGATGAGTGGCAAGATGAAGGCGAGGAAGGAGCAGATAGGGAAGAGAGGGTACGTTGGGTCGAGACTGTGCATCGCAATAGGTGGACGTAAGGAGCCGAAAAGAGAAGGTAGAGTCGAAAAGAGAAGATTTGTCAGGGTAGAAAGGATGCTAATCTTCAACGGGAGATTCCATCCTGACTTTTGAGGCGGCGAGAGTTGGCAGGCGCTTAGTTCGTTTGTAACTTGACAAAAGAAAGTTGAAAGAAAGTGAACAATGCTGGAGTGCGCACGTGACTACAAAGGTGTCGTCGAGATGTCGCCCGCGCCCATTCAATTGACCTCTGGGCAGGCTACTCGGACCGACGCTCTATCATATTTCAAGCTCAAAAATCACACTATCGCGGTGTATCTGTGTTATTCGACGTCTTTGAGAGCCAAGGGCAGATGTACACCGCCGCGCAGATAAGTCAGTTCCAAAATAGCTGGGCTGAATGTGATCTCGGCGATAGTTCCCATACAACACTTTCAATTGCTAGTTTTACCTCAGCTTCGGGAATACCTCAGGGTGGAGACTCTCACCATGAATTGGTCCAATACAACAGGAGTATCCCTGACGAGCGATTTTGTCCATGGGTTCAAGGGATTCCTTTACACGCAATTCAGGCCCAGCCTGTGAAAAGTATTTGGCATCTCAAGCCCAGACACTTTCAGAGCATCTCGAGGGATATACTTTGGCCATCAAATAGCCGGCGTCAATTATGAGAGCGGGGCGAATCATGTCCCTTTCTGCGTCGCTCTCTGAGTCAAATGGGCTCTCAGATGCGTTGGAGGTCACCAAAATGGATATGATAACGCAAGCAATCTAAAGTACATGCAATGTGACAACATATAGTCAACACAGTCAGGGCAACCTAGGAAAATACATGATGTGGTGAGATACAAGCAAGGCCATGGCGTGGCAAACTCCGGTCTTGAACCGCTCATCATCTGCTTTTAGTGGAAAGGAACGGCAAGAATTAATTCACATGGTGATAAACGGGCTGTCTTTGGAGATGGTGGAGGGTCATGAGGGCCATGGACAGTGCGGGAATTTCGGAGTCACGGCCACATAAGGCATCCAGTAAAGCTCTG